TCCATAGCATAGCGGCTAATTGCTAGCATAGCAGTTTGACCAGTTATATCGATATAAAGTCCTCTTATATCTTGTTTAAAAATTATAACGATATTTTAAAAATGTTGACATATCGCCCAGCCTTACTATGAAAGATATGCGTATAGGCTGTGCAAAAGGTTTAATCACGTATCCTGAGTGTTCCTTTCATTGCGCTGGTTGAAGTGAGCTGATGGGACGCCAGCAGGAGAACGTGTTTTTTTGGGCGGGGCCACATGAGGAATGGCGAGGGCGGGGCAGGGTGGGGGACTGGCGCTGATTGGCTTGGAACCCGTTGAAGACTGCTTGCAGTTCTAGTTTTACTGTTGTAATTTTAAAATAACTTAGGTTTTAATATGTCCAGCACTTTGGGCGACATCGTTGTATTTAAATTGTTCTATAAATAAACATGACTTGAAACCAAGATTTCCCTGCAGCTATTCCTCATACACAATATCAAGTCATGACAATGATTTTAGTTTTGCCCCCTGCTGTAATAGTATTGTGTTTGAATAGGTAGAAGTGGCGGCTTGTCCATAGGGGACGCTAGGGCGCCACCCCACCAGTCTCAGAGGAAGAAGATAGGAATCAGAAAATATATTAAAAAACATGAAAATTAAAATAAATGACCTATACATCACAGCTGTGTATAATCTGCATGTCAGTGTAGTTAAAAAATGTTCTCTCACATTTTTACCCTTACCGAATCGTCTTGTGACATATTTCCTGTTACTTTTCGGGCGCAGCAATCTTTACCATAGACATACGCTACAACAGGCACATGCGCGCTGGATCCCTCTCCAATACAAAGAATAGGAGAGCCTTTGGAAGCAGGGATTTGTGACAGAAACTGGTCTCAACTGAGCTCAGGATGTTCACCTGGAACTGGAAGCTCTCCACTGTTCACCGTTCTTTTGTTTTAGATTAGGCTTGGGCGGTATTACGGTATTACCGTATACACGTGGTATTACAAAATAGCGACGGTGTCAGTTCCAATACAGTCATGAAAAACAGCTGTGCGACTGACCAGTTCCTCTATCCTCCCCATACTCCAGCTCTGCAGGGAGAGCGTGTTGGCTGTGTCAGAAAACGACCTCCAGCTTACAAAGTCAATAAAAACCACAATTCTAAAAAAGCTGGAGGCCAAGTATGAATCTGATTCAGTGCGCAAATAAATGCGAAAATGCCTCCTCGCTACCGTGGCAGATATGAGCTTGATGACAAGGCACTGGCTGAAATCAAAGCTGAATTACAGGCTGAGATCGTGAGCTTAGAGGGGCAAGCAGCACCAGAAGCAGTGGCCATCCGAACCATAGAGGAACGAGCACAACCTGAACCCCCACGCAAAAAGATGTCTCTGGGGGCTCTCCTGCAAAAACGAGCCGCTGACGCTGCGCCGGAGGGTCCCGTCAGCGCAGAGCAGCGAGCTGGAGCTGAAATAACAGCGTAATGTTTGGAACCTGTAATTCAAGGGGACGAAGTCCCTCTTCTCTGGTGGAAATATGCTGGCAGTCCTTTTCCCCAGATGTCACGACTGGCCCGGAGGTATCTATGTATTTGTGCCACCAGCTCACCATCGGAGCGGGTTTTCAGCACCGCAGGTAAAGTTGTTGGTCCACAACATGCAAACTTGAACCCAGAAAAAGTAAACATGCTGGTTTTTCTGGCGAGAAATCTTAACTAGATTTGCTGCAACATGCCGTAATGTTCACACTCCTGTGTGTGTGTGTGTGTGTGTGTGTGTGTGTGTGTGTGTGTGCGTGCGCGCGTGTGGCCGTGTGACGGAGTTTACTTTTTATAATTTTAATGCAGTTGTTTTGGTTGCAATAACTTTATAATTTCAATGTTTATGGTTATTCAACTCTTGCTGACTGTTACGGGCCTATTTTCACTGTTTCATGCTGCTCGTTAAGTTGTTCACTTGATTTGCGCACAACAGCTGTCCTGGGTTTTTATGTTGATTTATTTCTGTTGGACTGTTGACTCTTTGCACTTGTTTATAAGCTGTGTTTTTTGTGTTAATAAATGTTGTTAATAGTATGTGAGTTGCGTTGTTTTTTTTTAGTAATTGGTATTCAGATTCAGAAAGGTGAAGGTCCACTTGAGGCTTACGTCATACTTTTTAAGTATTCACAGTAATACCGTATACCGGGGTAAAATTAAGTGGAAGTTAGACGGTATTCAAATTTGGATACCGCCCAAGCCTATTTTAGATCACTGTTCTTTGTTTTATAGCAGCTGAATACACCTTGTGGAATTTTTTTTAATCACAGAGCATCGGAAAATGATGGAATGTGGTGTCGGAGACTTGAAAACATTCTCCAGAAGGTAAAAAATCCCCAAACATTTGGGAATCAGCTCAGTGTGACGTTGGGACATTGGATTACATGAACCGAGTAGATGTTTTTTTTACTATAACACGGATTATTAATACCATAAACTTGTAACGGTAAGACTGAATTTACACTTTTGATGAAATTAGCTTTGTTTTGCATTTCGTTTAGCAGCTTATTGTCATTGGGTGTTGTTGAGGTAAAAACGTGGATTCTATCGTTTAGATGGGCTAGAAATATCCCATTAAGTATGTATGCAGTTTGCATATATCAGTGAATATTAAGCATGTTTTTGGAAAAACTTTGTTAGAAGTGCTCATGGACCTGGTATCAGGTTTGTTCGGTTAAATTGGTGACGCACGAGAATGGTAATTTGGCGTCCCTTAGTGGTGATGTGTGGTTAGCACATCTGAAAACAGACTTGCAAAAATGTGCCCCACCAAAAAACAATAAAGAAATTCACCAGCTGACACTGATCAAAGGCCTGAGCTGTTCAGAAGCCAGATAGATCCATTCCAGCTAAAGGAGCCTGCTGACATTCACATCCAAAGCAAAACAACAAACGAACAGATGAGTAGTGGGTTGATGTGAATGCATTTATGTAATCCTTTGATCGTAGAAGAACTGTAAATGTGAAGCAGATGAGTGGAAATGTACATTTAGGACACTCCTTAAGGAGACAAAGACCAGCACATCTGAACCTAAGACATAAAATTATACATGAATCAGTGACGGGGGCTCGTTAGACTGTTTGAGGTTAGTGCTCCGAGGCCTTTATACAAGACCAAGTGTAGAAATATCCACAACCAGCTCAGTGGCCTAGTGGTAGAGTGTCCGCCCTGAGACTGGGAGATCAGGGGTTCAATTCCTGGTCGGGTCATACCAAAGACTTTGAAAAAATGGGACCAAATGCCTCCCTGCCTGACACTCAGCATTAAGGGGTTGGATTGGGGGGGTTAAACCACCAAATGGTTCCCGAGCGCGGCTGTGTCTGCAGCTCACCGCTCCCCCAGGGGATGGGTCAAATGCGGAGAACAAATTTCGCACACACATCAGTGTGTGTGACAACTAATGGGACTTTAACTTTAACAACAGAATGACACATGTCAGAGCTGTTGTTTACGGTTTCCCACTAATGTTTTCACTGTAAAAGTGGGACTGGGATGGCACAATTAGAGCTGTAAATATTAACAGTCCCACATGAGGAAGGAAAGAGCACCTCCTGAGAGTGCTGCAAAAACCAAGGGCTGGCGTGCATTTTCTCTCCACTCCTGGGACAGTTAATGAGGGAGGGGTTAATCTTCAGCAGCTACATACCAGCGTCCGGTGTTTGCTCTCCTCCCTGTAAACAACATCCACTTCCCAACACGGCGTGCATGTGTGGGAGTGTTGTTGTGAGTGGTCTGTGCCACCAGACTCACCCACACCTTTCCACAGGGCTCAGCCTCATGCTGGGCTAAAGGATAATGTAGCTGGTGTTGGCCCGTAGCTCATTCATTAAAACCAGCACTGCTCCATTCCTATTTTTTCCTCGCTTCATATGAGATGGGCTATTTTGTGTAAACATGCTCATAAAGTGCTATTGTGAGTGGGGTTAAAGACACAATTAAAGGGCTATTGTGCCCAAAATAAACTGAGTGGATAATCTGCTCATGTGACTCATTTCAAGACAAACAGTTAAAGGCTGGCTCGCTAGTGTGACCACAAACACTCACAGGAGGAATGTTTCTTCAGTCTTTTGTTGCATCTCACGATGGAAGCTAAAATCAATGGAAAAGGCTGTTAAGATGGCAGCCGTACCAGACTTGGTTTCGTTGATCGTTAAAGCTTGTGTTTGACTCGACAGGTCAGAGCGTCCGCATTAAACCTGTTAAATGGGAAACAAGAGCCGAGCGAACTAAGACAAGCTTATCTGAAGTTTTAGGCCTTTAAAAGGTCGCCGGCAGAGATTTAGCTGTAAAAGCAACCAACAAAGATTTCACCACCCAAGTTAAATGTCATAAAATGTGAAGCATCCAGTAAGAGCTGCACATCACCGACACTGTGTCTGAGTCAAACAATCTTGTTCTTTAGAGTTGAACCCAAGATCTCATAGGAGTCCTTCAGTCAAACAGACTCAAGCATCTCCTGAGTGTATCTAAACAGTTTAGATCTCTTGTGTCCCAAGAAGGAAGGATGAGGAGTTTTCCCATTATACAAAACCAAGTTAAGACATTTTCCATACGTGTGCTATTTACACCTGAAAGAAAACTGCACAGAAAACTAAAAGCCTAGCACTCCTTCAGGGAACTCGAGCCAGACTTGTAAACTACGATCTTGTGTTGAGAAAATATTGTTGTTTTAGTCCAGTTCAGTCAAACTTGGTAACATTCGGAGTTTGAAATGACCCTACTGACATCACATCAAAATGTTGCTCAATAGTCAAAAATTTGAGTCAGTTGTTGCCTTTTTCTGTATTTACTGCTATGATCTGATTTCGTAACAATGCACGCACACACACACACACACACACACACACACACACACACACACACACACACACACACACACACACACACACACACACACACACACACACACACACACACACACACACACACACACACACACACACACACACACACACACACACACAGGCCTCTTCCTCACCTTAAGTATCATCTCTGCACGAGTCATGCCTTTTACCACTATCTTGGTGTAGCTGGCAGGCGCCTTGCGGAGCACCTGGGAGCCTATGGACGGCAGATCCAATAGGACAGTCTTCAGAGAATGAGTGTCCAGGAGGAGCTGGTGGAAGAGAAAACACACGCACACACGCGCGCGCTCACTGGACAGAACGTTCTTTCAGATAGATCAGACAGAACTGATCTTACCTGTTCGGCTCCCACCATGCTGATGGGTTTACATCTAAATAGGTGGTTGATAAATTTGGGGACGAACGAACTAAAAGAAAAAAAGAAAAATCAATTAAGTTCACCTGAAGAACTTAAAAAATCAGATTCACTTATGAATTTGCCCTTTACTTTGTGAACTTGATGCAAAACTGTGTGAAGTATTTGCGTGTGGAGGCAAGGTTGTCCCTGATGATTGGCACATTTTGTTTAATGTGCATGATGATTGAGGTCACATAAGGACTCTGGTCACCCACATGCTCCACATTCTGCCACGGCATCTGCAGGGTAAAAGGTCAGATGGAGATATTTGTAATGGTGTGGCTTACAGTGTGTGACAATCCCTTTAAACTAATAACGCAGCCAAACAAAGACATCTTTTTCTTGGTGGGAAACAGAGTCACAAAACCGCCGGAAATGCAGTGGCGTAACTTCTTCTGACACCAGAGTTATGAGCAAAAATGTTTATTTGACTTTTAATAAAAGGCAGATGTATTTGATTTAATGCCATTAAGTGAGATGAGAGTCTGACTGTTCTCAACCTTGCTCATAGCATTTAGAGCGGGATCGCAGGCAGCATCCAGATCTTGAACCAGCAGCTGGATGCTGTTGGAGATGACTCTGAAAGGAGACCAAGAAAACATAACAGAACGATAGGCTGAGTATGTTAGGAACACAAAGCACTCGACCGCAGCCGTCACTCACGTGCTAAAAGTATCCATCTCTCCAGTCAAATTTATTCTCTCCACCAACACTTTATCCACTTTCTCCTTCAGCTTCTCTTCCAGCTGGAACATGTATAAACAACGTTCTGTAAGAGCATCTTTCATCACCAACTTCACATTCCTGTATTTGTTCAGCATTAAAGGTGTTGTTAGATCGGTTTAAAACATTTTGTACGACCCAGCTTGTGCACAAACCTGCTGTGTGGTGGCCAGACAGTATTCAGCCGTGCTAAGGATACTACAGATCAGACAGAGCTCATCCACGGTAAACTTTGCTGCCTCACAGACTTCTTTTTCCTTCAGCAGACTGGTGATGGTAAGACCCCCACTGTTGCTGTTCGACCTGGACAGGAGGCAGAAAAAACGAGAGAAGAGTAAAAGTTTCAGTTATAAAGGAGAAAAGTAAAACCTAAAATATTAAGTAGCTGTAAAAAAAACCATGTCTGTCTACTAGACTGATTGACCTCAAATACACAGGGACACAATGAAAAGTACCGATTTTGACAGCTGTGTTCTTTGTATTCAGAAAAGAAGTTCAGCTAAACTAACAAGAGTCTGTTATTGTTGAGCTGAATGTGATTCAAAGCCAACATTTCTAAGTTCTCACAGAACCAGAGCTCACTGAATAAAGCAGAGATACAAAAACATCGATCAGCTCTACTAGGGGGGTCTAACTGCAGTCTGATACAGACACACCATCACACTGGTTTAAATGGTCAAACTAGAGGTTGACTGGTGGGGCTTTTTCATGGCTTTAGAGGTCTGAGCAGTCACGGACAAAAATGCGGAGCAATTTACTTTCTGTTTTGTTTTAGCACAACTGCTCTACTTAAACATTTAACAATCAGGAAATCATGAACAATTAAGATAACCGTAAAGATCAGCAAATATTAGCAGATTTAAAAACTACATAGGTCATGTAAACAAGCTTCAAACGTTTTGCAAATATTTAACCTGCAAAGTGAGCTTCAGAGGCTGAAAGATGGCGTAAAACGCTTGTTCCGGTTAGTTCTAATGATGACTTGTGTGAGAACTTAGCATCAGTGATAGTCGGGGGTTTCAAAAAGGGTGTTTTCTACAAAAAGTTGTTAATGAAGGAGTTGATCTGTTGATAGCCGAGTCAGTACATGTTCAGTGGTCTCTAGTAGGAATGAAGGCCGTGTAAGTTGACTTGTAACTAACCCTAACCACGAAAGAAATGATTATGTCAATAATTAAAAACATAGCAGCTGCGGTGTGCAGTAAGCTCACTAAAATCAAGGCATTGCAATAAATCGATTACAAAACCATGAATATATTTATTTAGCACTGACATAACAACAATGCACAAAATAAATTAAAACAAGATTAAATGTTTCACTACTGGGAAGGACAGTAAAATTAACCCTTTATGCACAAAAGTCCCAATGTTGCGTTTAAAGGGACTGTAAGGAAGTTTGACAGCCAATGTATAGAAATAATAAATATCTTCTTCATACATTCTCCTGCAATGCCCTGGTCCTGTAGAATGAGCCCTGGCATTTTTACTGTGATTGCCTGTTTTTCTGTAAAATCACAGAAAAAGAGAGCTGCTCGGGTCGAGCAGGCTGCTTCATGCGCGTTCACGCTCAGGCATAGCCCGTAGCATTTGCTATCCGTAGCTTTAGCAGCAGAGAGAGAGGTAGTGCTCACTCAGCGACTTTGTCGCTGTTCCTAACGCCTAGTGACGAACCTAGCTACTTACTCTTAGCTACTTTCTGTAGAACTTTCTTCTAGATATGTCCTGCAAATTAGCAACAAAATAGCCATTTTCGCTTCGAACTGTTCTTTGGATTGACGTTGTTTCAGCTGTCATCCAGGATATAAATGTTACAGATAGATTGAACATCATTGGCGCTTTAGCTTACCTAGTAAGGTGTCTGTCTCTCATGCAGAAGACCTGAGTTCGACTCCAGTTGTGGACATAATTTGTCATTTTGAGTTTCTTTTTTACATTAATGATATAGTTTTTTACAATAATAAGACGCTCAAATTTTTAGTTGAGACTCACCAAAAGGCATTGAATTCACGGATAAAAAAGATATGGGTTCAACTTTCATTTTGGAAAAATTTTTCAAGCAAGGGAAGGGAATGATCTGAGCATGCAGGAGAACTAACCCATCTTAAACCTTTGCCGGCTGTGCTGAAGAGAAAGGTACAGAACCAAATTATTTAATTAATTAGCTGCGTGTTCCCCCCCACACACACACGTTCGGCTGGCCGACGAGAAAGTGCGGCTGCAGAGACAGAGGCACATTATTTTTATTAATTTGCTGTGCTCTTCTGTCCTTCGGGCCACCCAACCACCCACACCCCCACACCCACACCCACCCACACCCACCCACACCCACACACACACACACACACACACACACACACACACACACACACATACACACACACACACACACACACACACACACGACTGTCTCAGCTGTTATTTTCGTTAAGGAGTGTGCACGTACAGCGTGCACACCTCATGCATGATCTTACTTTTGAAGCTGCAGTTACGCGTTAGGCCTGAGTGGTGATTGTGAGCATAAAAACTTCAAACTTCCTTACAGCCCCTTTAACAAGCCACAGCTGCAAATATAATCCCTCATGAAGTTATTACTTTACACCAGAAGACAGTGGAGATGTGCAACTTGCCCACATCACAGCTGAGCTTCAGACGGCAGGATTTGGAGTCTTATTTTCTGATATTTGGACATCTCACCTCGGGCTGGATAACAGCAACGTGACTCTACCACTGACTTGCAGCATTGAGGTTTTATCTCCAACAAATAACACAAGCCTGGAGGAGCCTCTGCCGTGTGGTGGAGTTGTTAATGCTAATGGCTAGCTTAAACTAGCCAAGAAGTCTGCTGCTGATTCCTGGACGTTAAAAACAACAGCCTTCACCGTCGTGGGGCAAGATGGGCGAGTCCATGAACACTAAGTCACAGTGTGACAAACTCGCATGAAAAACCTCAGAGTGACCAACTATAATCATAAAAAAATTTTAAAAATGTTTTTTCAGTCAACCACACCTTTAACACATCAGTTTAGAAGTTCCTTTCTTTAGGTTTGCCTACATTTATTTTATCATTATTCTTGAGTTTCTTCGAAATGAAGAACAGATATGCAAGACCTGACTTAAAAAAAAGTTATTAAAGAGTCCTCTAGGTCTTAAATTATATGTAAGAAGGGTTGAAACTGTTCTAAATCTAAAGCCAATACGGACGGCACGTTTAAAAGTTGCAGGTAAAAACACCCTTTAACTGCAAGCCAACGGGTAAAACTACAAACAGATGCAAAAGTGGAAGCCACTGGGGCCTCAGTGGCGACACAATATTAATAAACGTCATAACAGAGACATGTGGGTAAAACCACAACATAGTTGCAGCTCCTTCTGAGGGCCCCTCTCGAAACCTCACGAGACCAATTCACAGCACACCACGCTGGACGGGCGTCTGCAAGTGTGTGCACTTCTAATGAGTCTGAGTGCATCTATGCCGGTGTTTTTGTGCAGCCTTAAAAACGGCAAGCATTAGTGGGAAAATTCGAATGTGTAATTAGCATGCATGGATATCTGAACACGCCTTTGTGTGTGAGCATTCGCTGTAGCCAGAGAGGATTTGTGATGTGGCCAACGAACCAGAGATGTTGTTGCTGGTAGCATATTGGGCTTTGCCACAGCATAACCAACTCCAGATAGCTCAAAGCATGCCATCCTAATCCCTTCAGCGCAGTGAAGATGTCGGTTTCAGACTTCACTTCTAAACAGCCCAACACCACACCAAAATGAAGGAGAAATATAGATGCGACAGGCTGGTCTAGGAAAAGTAGATCCCAGACAAATGTGTCTTTAAGACCAGAAAAACTGATTTTCATTCAATAAAAAGATATAAATCATGTGTTTAGAGTTGAAATGCCATTTCTATTTCCCTCTGGGGTGTGTTGTCTTTTTCCGGGGTGTGTAGACATCTGAAAATTTCACTTTAAAACAAACTTCAGTCCATGTTTTAAATCTACCCTTAAGGTTGTGTTTGTCTTTGAAATGAGCGCCACTTCCTGAAACTGAGGTTTCTGGCTGCTTTAAGGGGAAAAATGGATCCACCCTGATACTCTGGCTTTGTGCCAGAGTCATCTGTCAGTAAATGTGTGTTTGTAAAAGAAAATGTGTGATGGGTAAACTCTTAAAGCCAAAGCAATGCCATTCAAAGGAAGAACCAAGTAACACCAATCTCAGGAAACAAATGTTGTTCTCCATGTAATTAAACTCTTTCCTGTTGTCCTGAAAAAACAGATGCTAGCAAGTCAACCAGTTATTTACACAACCACCAAAAACTCAACCAGTCTTACTTGGGTAGGTTGCCAGAGAGGATCTTCCAAGCGTACTCTCTGAGGAACTTCTGGAAGATGGTTGTGAGGGCAATCATGGGTTCACCAGTGCTCAGCTGGGAACACTGGACCATGCACTTCTTGTAATAAACAAAGAGGTCTGCACAGCTGGGCAGCACCGCCCCACCTTCCTCTGTGCCTGCCTTAGGTGGGCCTTGTGCACGGAAATCAGCCACAAACCGGTCAATCAGTTCGCCCAGGTTCCTGCAGATATGCAAGAGATGTGCAACCAAACACACACACACACACACACACACACACACACACACACACACACACACACACACACACACACACACACACACACACACACACACACACACACACACACGCTAAAGGGATGCCGAATTTAAATGGATGAATCATGTAAAAAACTGAAGACATGACTTGTCCCCAGTAAATAAGTGACGAGCAGAAAGGCTGAGATCCAGCCTGAGACACAGAAAACGATATATTTGTTGCACCAAATCCTCTGTGCTACAGTTGCACAGCCAGTTGTTGTGGCCCAGTTCTACCGAATCAAGCAAATAAAGCCAAGGACAAAACAAGCAGGCCACTGTTCTCCTCAGCGATGTCCCACTGGGGACAAGCCGATTTGGCCTCCACCTTTGGACAGAACTAAAAGGAGGTTTTAGCTGCTGTATGGGTCAATCCTGTCCCCTTGGACGGACAAAAAGCATTTAATGCTCCAAAGAGCTGCGTGCAAGCGCAGCAGTCCCAGAACTGTGTTCAGTTTCAGAAAACACTGCCAGCACTGGAGTAGGGGAGCAACTGAAGCATGGTGGTAGGAATATTAGAGCATGAGGAGGTAAAAGAACGTTATTAAAAAGCACAACAGCAAGTATAAAAGAAAGTTGAAAGAAACAAAAGACCAGACAATTAAGAGAGGCTGACAAACATAAATTAGATAAAAGAAGAGTGGTGAAAAGCTACGAGTAAAAAAAGAGGTGGGAAAGAAAACAGGCAGATCTGCTGTGACAGCATTTATTCAACCTCACTCTTTTCTTTCAGCCTCTGTGGTCGTGAAGCTAATGGGAAACATTTCTGCCACAGTGGAGACAGAAGCACGTACAGGAACAACGGGTGGGAAGGCAGGAGGAGGTGAAGCAGAGAGAGAATGTGTGTGTGTGTGTGTGTGTGTGTGTGCTGCTCACCTGTCTTGGGATTCTATGTAGACATATAGGTGGGGTTCAAAACACTTGGATATGATGCCGTGGAAAGGGTTGTCAGGAGCTTTGGGCTTCCTGGGCTGGATTAGAACAGCAAAAATAGATTCTACCAAGATTTTAATCACAAAGAACACACACACACACACACACACACACACACACACACACACACACACACACACACACACACACACACACACACACACACACACACACACACACACACACACACACACACACACACACACACACGCGCACACAACCTTAGCAAACTCTTCATCCTTCTCTGCTCCCACATCCTCCCCTGACTCATCTAGGAAGGGGTTAGTTGGGTCTAGTGGACTCTCTGGCCTCTTTTTCTGTAAAAAAAAAAAAGAAAAAGAAAAAAAAACAGCACAACTTTAGTACTGGTCTCTGTTGATCAGTTAGTTGAGAGGGTGCTTCATTGTCAAGCAGACATTTTTGAGAGGATAATATTTAAAAGATTTTCTTTGATGAAAATCGTTTTAAATTCAACTTGACCTTGGATGAAACTGAGCCATACAGGCGTAGGCGTAAAGGGAATCGCAGACAAACGAGCTTCTGTCAGAGTTAAATATTAAGAGGTCAGGACAAGTTCGGCCTACTTGGCCCCAACAAAACTAATCGTGCCTCAATTATCTGTTCTTTCTGCGCTTCTCTTCTACCTTAACAGGAAAACACGACCTGGTTTAAACAGGTTGTTCGGCCCAAACACACACACAATAAAAACACCAATCAGCTGTTTTACGAGGAGTGTTTGTGTGAGTGTTTTCTCACTCCAGGTATGTCCGTCAGCGTACATCCCGTGAAGCGCTTGGACAGTAAACCCTCAAAGTTTGTAGTCCTCTGGATGGCAAACAGAAGGAGTTTCACCTCAATCTCCTTCGCTCGTGTTCGCATCACCTTAGCGAGCTCCACCCTAAAGACACATATCAGAGTATAAACTGGAGAAAAGAAATGGCACACAAAACATGAAAGTTTTTTTTTGTCTTTGAGTGTCAGAAATGATTGAGTCATTGGTTTGTTGATGCTCATTGTGCTTTGTTTAGGTGTGAGAAACTTGTTCAATCAATACCTTTTCAGAGGTCGCTGGGTAGGGCTGGGCGATATGGCAAAAATAGAATATCACGATTTTTCCAATATTTTATCACGATTTCGGTTTTATCACGATTTTTTATTCATGAATAGCATAACTTCAATTGTGTATTAAAGAAGAGAAATGTTGAATAAATAAACATTTATTCATATTAGGGATAATCAACACAGTGCTAACACACTTATATTTTAAACTCACACCAGAGATGATAAAAGCCCTGAGAAACAATTACAAAAATCAGTTTTTCTCATTTTTCAAGTAACTTAACATAAATTAAAATCGTAAACATATTTAAAGTGCAAACATGTCAATTGCAAATGTATTGTGCAAACATTAACTTGTTCAAAATACTATGTAGCTCCCAGTAGCTCATGTAGTGGATAGTTAAGCTCAAATACGGCTCTGATGTGCGGCTGGACCAGAGATCGCTTGTGGTAGCAAAAAACTGCGCATTCTGAATATTTTCTGCAACTCTCACTTTGCATTCAGCGTACATGCAAGGAATGGCGGTGTTCGGAAAATACTTGCGGCTGGAAAACTCGTAGCGCAGATCCAATGTTTTTATCATTTTCTTAAATCCCGCTCCTACTGTTCGCACGGGACACAAATCTTTAACCAAGTGGTACGTCACTGCATCTGTCACACTGTTCCATCATCTGCTGTCTCTGTTGTAGGGAGTGAGTTTTGTGAGTGTTTCTGTTAGCGGTTGCTGCCTGGAAGAAGCACTAGCTGCTGCAGCCGCAGGCTTTTTAGCTTTAGCTGCCAGCTGGCTCTCATTGTATTGTTTGGGATGCCTTCTTTTCAAGTGATTAACACAAGTTTGTGGTGTTGCCATCACTTGCCTTGACGCTCTCCTTGCAAATGACGTTTCACCGCTCTTTGTCATCTGGTGAAAAACCAAACCAGTTCCATATAATGGACAGGGATGGGTAACTTTGACATTTGAATCGATCCGGTACTAATTCCCGGTACCTACGAATCGATACTGGTACTTGACGCTGGTATGAATGAATGCGTGGCAAACGTCACAATTCTCGGGCCGAGGAGGTGGGAAGCAGCAAGATCACATGTAAACAAGCCTCCCTTTACCTTTTTGCAATTTTAGAAGCTCCGATTGTAAAACAACTTCAGAATTAATACACAAACACACCGGTAAGTGTAGAACACGCGTTTATTTCCGTAACCACAGCGAGCTGTGTGTGACATCACGTGGCCTTACAGGCATGAGGGTCACTTCAGGGACGTAGAGTTTCTGCACTAGAGTCTGATAGGATTTAAAAACACAGAAAAACTGGATCCCAGCTAAATATGTGAAGCGTTAGAGTTAAAGTAAAACTAGACTTTATTACTACAGCTAACACGCTAACACCACGTTGTGTGAGGCCATTGAATTCTAAAACTGGGGCTGGTCCAGAATCCTTTAGAGTCAAATGTGTGTTCTAACAAGTTATTCTGCATTACGTCGGTTTCACACCGGAAGCATTTGGCGGCACGAAACGGTTTACTTGCGAACTTCAAAGTGGTCTTTTTCACACTGGGAGAGCCTCGGCAGCGGCATGGCTTCCTCGCTGTGCTCTTCGCTGGACTCGCGAGATCACAAGATCCCTCAAGACTCCAGGTCACAGTCTGTTTATGTAGTCCGCCATTAAACCAAAAAGAAAGAAATCACGTTTGATATCGCTGTTTGATGTCATATATGATGTTGTTCCTCTCCACTGCCAAGATTAAAGCCATGTAAACATGCTGCTGCACTTCTGGAACGATGCTGTGAGTAAACGAGTCATTGGGTCACACGTAAGCTTCATATTTATGTGCATCGCTGCAGTACTTTTATTGTGAAATTTACCAGTGATTTTACACTGAAACCGTGTGTGATTTCCTGTCTGGCCATATGTTAACTGCAGAAACTGACACATCCCAGAAGCGACACGTGGCAAAAATAGAACCCGATCCTATCTTCCATAGAATATAATGGATTTTATTTGAAGCAGTGACGTTCCGCGCCACTGATGCGTTCAGTGTAAAACCGGGATCAGAGCACAAACGGTGTTGGATGGGAAAAAACACACACGTGTTCTGCAGCAAAAGTGATTTTTTTATATGCATTTGGCTCCAACCTAGAGAGAAAAGTTCCTTCAAGGACCTTAGAAAAACTGAAGCCAAACAAAGATCCTTTCTGTGTTCTCAGCTTTGTTACAAATAAAGTTTAACTTGTTGTTTGATGTTTTATTTTATATCCAAGGCAGGACTGCTGTTTTTAGTCAATCTTGGTGGTTTGTGTGGAACAAACCATGAAAACATAGTCTTTAGGCTAGAAACAAAATTTGTGACAGAAGCGAACAAACAGTGCAGAAGACTTCTTTTATGTCTGACAGCACACGGCGTGGTTACTTTATAGCAATTCTGTTTGATTTAGTGAGAACCAGCTCTGGTGGCACCGAGAGGTGATGACAGAGTAAAAGGGGCTTCAGCTACGGCCAGTAGCAACACAGAGACCAAAGCCGCCGGCTTCTTTCATGTGGCTGACAAGAAGAAGGGAAAAGTATCAACACTGGGTCATCGCTTTTATAGGCCACCTACTTCAGCTGACCAGAAAGTTCTACTAATTCCCAGAATCATCTCAGGCATGCAAGAACAACAAAGCTGAGGATTAACAAAAACCAAATTCCCAGGTTTTGCCTTCCTCTCTATTTACATGGCTCTTTCCTCATCTGTACAAACTGTATTAGTGCAGATTTTTGGGTTGTCATCAACCACGAGACTCAGACATTTTGTGTAACCATGTGTCTCTTGACAGATGTGTTTTTACTTGGTGATGTGGCAGAACTCCACAGCAATGCGCTCTGTCATGCACCACTCATCAGGAAACATGCGGCCATATTTTTCTTCATAGTCCAACAGCTGTCGTTTGATCCAAGCGTAGCGGCGATCAATCTTGTCCAACCAAGCAACCTGGAAACAAAAAAAAAACAGAAGCACAGACGTGTTTGAAATAATAATACTTGCAGAACGTGAAATGAACCAAAATGCACAAAATTGACTCACATCTTGATTTTCCTGGAAGAGAACCAGATACTCGGAGAGGTGCTGCCTGATGAACTTTTTGATGATCTCCTGTTTGATGCGAGGGTCGAGGACATTTGCCACCAGACATGCGTCTCTCAGAACATTACTGGGTCCACCTGGTCTCTGTAGAAGGGAGTTGTGACATGAACTTTTGTTGATAAGAGAAATAGAAAATAACTAAATTAAGGATTTTATTTTTTTTAATCCGTTCACCTTAGAGCCTTGAGAGGGGAAGGCCTCTTCAAAGTCTGCCAGAATCTGAGTCCCCAGCTCGCTCTGTGCTGCCTTTACTCTACCAGCAACACAAATAATCACAATAAAAAATTGATTGCTCTTTAAAGAGCTTACACTTTGCACAGTAATGACAGCATATACTGTAAAAGTATCTGCCAGGACTTGACTCACTAGGTGCTGTGACTGAGGCCTTTTATGGCTTGGTTTGATTAAACTACGAGAACTAATTGGAGCAACGCTAAGCAGAGGTGCTACAATGAAGCATCTGTAAATCTCCAAAGGACACTAGCTGAGAAGTTTTCCACACTCAACAAGGACAGCAGCACCAAAAGAAGTTACAATTAAGTGAATAAACAGGAGAAGGACCATAAGGATCCCGTGAATTACACGAGCCCAGTATACCAACTGTTCTTATCTCTTCAGTTTAATTACATGGTAACACAATAAATAACTTACTCTTTTACTGATTTATTGAAAGACGCTTAAAGTATTTAACAGGTAAAGGCCTTTTCATGTCTTCAACAAAGACTGTTAGTTTAATTAGTTTAAATGAAGAGATGTGAAATGGATATGGTCATGGATTATGGTCTGAAGAGAATGCAAACGTGCTGAAGAAAAAATAGATCTTAAAGAAAGGCTAGGAAGGTTTGGCTTGCTTTTAGCACCCCCTAGTGTCCTTAAAGTAGAACCGAAAGCAAAACTCATCTTCTCGCTGTGCGTTCGTCTTTTTAACACCTTAATTTGGAATCTGAAATGTCTCCCCAGCCTTCATTGGTGTCTAGCTAAATAAATAAAACAATTTTTATTTAACATCACTAAATAAAATAAATCAGCTGTGATCATGATCTAAAACATGCAAGAAACAAGCTAGAACACGACAGCAGCACCAGGTATGTAAACAAAATTTTTTTTAAAGTCCAACAGACTGGACCGGCACTCTGAAGTTGCAAGTGCGGTATTCTGGCCACAGAGAGTAGTGGGGGTCTGAGTGACATTTCATTAATCCTGCAAAGGGTCATTTTTGGTACATACTGGTCCAAGAAAATGATTTAGAACAATGAAAAAGTTGCAAAGTGTCCCTTTCAACAGCTTTTAACTAAAAAAGAAAGGTTAACTTATTTCTAAGATCACTTGACTAGTAAAGTTTTAACTGTATCATCCTATTACTAGCTCATCATAAAAAGTTCTTTGACACCAAGGTGTGTGTGTGTGTGTGGGGGGGGGGGGGGGGTAGCATTTCAGCCACATTCATCAGAACTAGATTTATGTCAGCGGGGGGTCATCTGATTTCCAGAGAGATCATAGACATGCAGTTTGTCTCAGCAATTTGCTACAAACCTTTGTAAACACTGATATCACACATGTAACATGCAGCCCTGATGTGGACAATGACTGGAGCCATTTGTTTTCACACTGCTTACACAAAGTCAGCCAAATCCTGCGCTGACATCTACAAAAAAACTGTGAGATACTTGGATAATAGCCAATAAATCCATCCTTTATGACTGAAGCACGAAACATTAACCACAATAATCTTTAAATGCCATCCTCGCAGCAGGACTAAACAGAAAAATTCTCTGCTATTAGGAATGCAAAGACGTGTGTTTTATTACAGAACAGGCAAACCAAGTAAATAAAGTCTCAGTCTGCCCAAAGGGGTTGTATCAAAGCAAATGTTGTTTTAACTACAGTTATTAAGGCTGAGACTCGGTGTAGTTTAGCAGGAGAGAATCATGATCCTGGAGCTTTCTGCTTACATCCAGCCTCCATCTCCCTTCTCCCTGTATCCCCTCCTCTCATCCTTTTCTTCAGCCGAGTCACTTCGGACTTCCAGCTGTTATTTGGTATGAACATTATCTACCACACCTTGATCGAAACAAAACAGAAAGTCTTTCTTTACGCATTTTTTCTTAAAGATCAGAAGTGCTTTGAAACTGTTTCAAGCTGAGCGATGTGTCCCAGACTGATTCTTTGTTTTCGGAAAACATTATCATAAAAGGAAACAGCATAACAAAGGCCCTCTGTGTGTATGTGAGGGAGTGAGTGTGTGTGTGTGTGTGTGTGTGTGTGTGTGTGTGTGTGTGTGTGTGTGTGTAACAGATTCAAGACACAAGTATTTGAGAATAACGAAACCTAATATCATCAACCTACCTGATAACAAAATGTTAGCGGGCTGAAGGACGAACTGGACACATGGAATTAAGTTTTGAGTGCGAACTGCATTAAAAACACTTTGTGTTGACACGAGTAACCATAAACTCAGAGATAAAAACACACACCCTCTGACAAGTGTGTCCCTGCCTGTGTAAGATGGAATAAAGCTGTGATAATGAGGGTCTGTTCAGAGTTTCCTTCCTGCGTTTTCCTGTGTGTGTGTGTGTGTGTGTGTGTGTGTGTGTGTGTGTGTGTGTGTGTGTGTATACACATCTGCATAAACAGGATGTAATACGCAAAATACCTCAGCAAACACTGGAACCACTTTTCAGGCATTCAGACGAAGAGCTGTGGAACATTTCAGCAGAGAGGAGGGAACCCCCTCTGGCTGCTGGAAATGCGCTCCAGAGTTATTCTGTTAGCGAAACACTGGTGTGTGTGTGTGTGTGTGTGTGTGTGTGTGTGTGTGTGTGTGTGTGTGTGTGTGTGTGTGTGTGTGTGTGTGTGTGTGTGTGTGTGTGTGTGTGTGTGTGGCTACCTCTCTGAAAGCTGTCTGATCTGGGGTATGCCCATGTACTTGTGAAAATGCTCGAGCACATTGACCACTCCCTGCAGTAGGTTGGCCACCTCGCCGTACTGTCTCTTTCTGGTCATGGCTCTGGAAAGAAAATACAAACATTTAATAGTTTTATCAGCAAACCAACAGTGGATGCATCTCAGATATTCTAAGAGTATATACACTTTATAAAAAAAACACTGACATTATGCTGCAAAAGCTACTTGCAGAAACCGTGTTTACATGTTAGTCAAGAGGAAACTCTGCAGCAAGTTCCTCTTGTTTTTATATGAAATTCCATGTTGCAGTAACATCAAGGAAGCTTTTATCTTCAGGTCCATTATATCAGGCACAAATACCCAGGAAATGGACTTTTATCTTCAGACTCTTGGTTTGACTTTGATAAAACATAAAAAGAAACAACTGACCCTGATAAAACCATCACGCAGGAGATAAGAAACTAATGTCTAACTGTGGCGTTTGCGCAGCACGCGATTTAGCCTTTTTATTTTATTTTTTTAGATAATGTAGCTCATTTTTAACCTGCTTTATTTTGTTGTTTTACCTACGTTTTTTGCCGTAATCTCCTGCTTTTATTTGTTTTGATGTATATTTTGTTGGCCCTTGCATGAGCCAGTGGCGTTTTAAACACTTTTGTGTGTGTACAGCACTTTGGTTCGCCTCCTGGTTGATGGAAAGTGCTTTAGAAATGAAGTTGATGATGATAACTTGTTAATACATAATTGTACCCACTCTAAAGAGTCAACTCCCCCCGCCAACATGTGCAGGTGGTTGAGGGTGGTGATAGACGTGGTGAGGTGGCGTTTAGCATGGTCCAGCTGCTTTATGTCCCTTGTAATCTCTTTGACCTGTGAGGAACAAAACAGAGTCTGGATTATAATCCAGATGGAGGATGGAGAAGACACCAAGAAGGCAAAAAATATGAGACAAGCATTTGAAGAATTACTGACAAGTCTGGATGGTCAGTGTGTCTCAAGAGACACTCTTGCTGGAGTCAGAACACCTAGCATGCTTGTTTGTGATGAGGACGATGTTGCGCTTACATATTACAGTCACTGAGCCAACTAAGTGGTATAAAGAGGATTGTTGTTTCAGAACCAGATGGCAAAGCTGTCTTAGATCTAATTAACCTGATTTTGACCGTAGTCGTCGATCTTTGAGTCTTCTGTTGAATTATAAATTAAAATAAAAAAATCAACAAGACATAGACAGAGCAGCATTTCACCAACGGGCCTGACTAGAGGAGGACACATGGAACTTTTAAACTGGAATAAAACCTAAACTTCTCAGTGTGTGTGTGTGTGTGTGTGTGTGTGTGTGTGTGTGTGTGTGTGTGTGTGTGTGTGTGTGTGTGTGTACCATTTGTTCAGACTTCTCCGCCTTGTCCTTAATGTCCTTGATTTTGCCAAAGAGCTGCTGGATGGCTATCTGGGCCTCCTCCAAAGCCTGCAATGATAAACATACATGAAAAGGCACTTAAAAATACTAGAAAACACTTCAAAAAACGTTATTTAAAAAAATACATCACATATTCTAGCTTCTTTAAAGAAAAATATGACGAGTTTTGGACTTTTCTGTAGAAAACTGCAAACATGTGCAGGAAATATCAGAATTAATCCTCTAGCATTTGCAGGGAGCACGTGTGCATGTTGATAACATGCTAAGCAGCTGCAGACCCCCACGTTGTCCCACTCACTGACTGATAAAGTAGAAAGGTCCAAACACATGCAGATAAACGGTGAAAACTGTCTCCACACTCCGCTTGCATCATGCTCCGTTTCCTGTTTGAAAGCGCTTCATTAGAGAACCTCCCAGCAGAGTTTGGGAGTTTTTCCTCAAACACATTTGATTGTAGCATAACAAACTAGCATTTTATTTTTCATGTCTATTTCTGCACATGGAAGGGAGGATATGGATTAGCATTTTATCTTTTTATTTAGTTCTCCTTCAAAGCAGTTATCACAGAACCACAACGTCCACAGACAAATCATTTGTTATCAGCGAATGACAAGGTTGAATCGTTTCCTTTTGAACATCAAACTTTTTTGAATAGTATGGTGAAAAATATAGTCGTTAATGTAAACTTTACAAGACACATAATTATTCTATTCAGTCAAACCACAGGGTTCAGTTAATGTGCAAAATTATGCAACCAATGTCCTTTCCCAGCTCTAGGAAAGAGAGCCTGTCTTACATACAAATTACACACCTAATTAACATGCTAAATAGATATTTAACATCATTAGAGCTTAGGATGACACACGGGCCACAAGGCTAAGCCGAGTTCAAAGCCTGTCACCATAAAGGCTAAAGAGATCATTAGTGGTTTTAACAGTCGGACAGTTCCAACAGCAAAACGGCTACAGAGCGATTCTAACGTTTCCTTTTCATCTGATGAAGCAGCTGCTCTTTGATGCTCCTCAACGCAGATTCTGTCCTGACATGCAATACAGAAATAATTGGTTTAATTTGGCCTGTTGCTGTGGCGGCACTGCAGACACAACTTTGACTCTCCCTCACACACACACACACACAGACAAAAGGAATGCACACAGCCGTCACCAGCTGTCCAAGGAATTTACCACTTTTGCTGCACCTCTAACATACAAATGGACTGTGGTGGTGGCAAATACAACTCAGCATGCACACACGCACACACACACACGCGCACGCGCGCGCGCGCGCACACACACACACACACACACACACACACACACACACACACAAGCTAATGATACTTTATACTGGTGTCATCCGTGACCCAAACTAAGAAAAAGTGTAAATATGGTTTTTATGAAAGGAGTCAGCACCTTAAATTTTAACTTTTCTGCTTAAAAAGGTGGGTATAATGGCTTCCTAATGATTTTTCACTGGCTGGAAAGTCGATATTTAACATTGGATCGTTTTTTTTACTCTTGGCTTCTTCAACCAGCCCACGTGCACCCCACGAGCATGCGCACTCCAAAACAAGATCTTGAGTTCTGGCCTTACTGTCATCACAAAGGTAGGATGTACAGTACCATATGCGGACAGCGCATAGCAACGCCGCTATTGCCCGCACTGTTCCGCTTCCAGAAATGACGTCCAGAAAAGACTTTGGCTCAACTTTCATCTTGGAACTAGTTGTCTTAGAAAATATAATAATTATAGTTTGTATTTTAAAATATAAAACTTTTATCGGACTAACGTTGTTTCAGCTGTCAAGCATCAAGCATGTCAAGCATGTTTTCTGGGTTTTAACACCATTTTCGGTGATAGAAATATTTCTAGTGAAATGTGATAAAGGGATAGCTCAACTAGTAAGATACCTGGTTTACATTCGGAGGACACGGGTTAAAATCTAGGCTGGGTTATCAGATTGTTATTTGGAGGTTTTTTTAATGATATTTTTGTAAGACACCCAAATTTTTATTTTTAAACATCCAAATGAGACGCGCCGAAATAAATTTAATTCATGGCCAGAAAAGACGTCGGTTCAACTTTCATTTTGGAACTATTTTTCAACCATGATGAGACATGTCATGTGGAATCGTAGAATGTCCAAGGAATGTCCCATCTTTCTCGCCACGCTAAGTTCAGTTTCTTTACAAAACTCCCCAAAACAGCTTTCTGTTGGTGGTGGTGGCAGGAGAACAGTCTGCACTTAGCAAGGGAAGACGCCGGTTTGCTGCAAAATCAAATAGTCAATCATAGTAGAGTCCTTCTAGCCAATCAAAGGCAAGAAAGACAAGATCGTCATTGGACATCCTATGATTCCAAATGACCATGTCCGGCACTGCCGAAATATCACGTGTGCTCCAGCGAGAAAAGTTGAGGAGCAGTAGAGGAATGAAGAGCGCCGACAGGAGTGGTGATGTGAATGAGATCAGAAATCTAGGATGGAGCCAGGTTATGGAGAGCTTTAATGCAATGAGCAGAATTTTTAAACTGATTCTCTGTTTAATGGGCAGCCAATGAAGTTGTTGCAGGATGGGGATGATGTGATTAGCTGATGGAGTCCTAGTGATGACACATGCTGCAGCATTCTGGAGAAACTGCAGTTTATGGAGGGATTTGCTTGGGAGACCACAGAGAAGTGAGTTGCAATAATCAATCCTGGATGTGACGAGGCTGTGGACAAGGACGGCAGTAGTGGAGGGAGTAAATGATGGATGGAGGCGGGAGATATTACGCAAGTGAAAATAAGCAGACCAGGTAATATTGTTGATGCGAGATTGAAAATACAGTGTGCTGTCGAGGATGACACCCAGACTCTTAACATGAGGGGAGGGAGTAACTGCTGAGTTATCGATAGAGATGGGGAAACTGTTAGATTTGGAGAGAATATGAGGTGTGCCTACCAGGAGGACTTCAGTTTTAGAACTGTTCAGTTTGAGAAAGTTGGAAGTGAACCAAGAATGGATTTCTTGGAGACAGAGGGTAAGGGAGGAGGATGGAAGTGAAGTTGAGGGTTTGGTTGAGAGGTAGAGCTGGGTGTCATCCGGGTAACAATGAAAATGAATGTTGTGTTAACGGAAAATGTGACCTAGTGGGAGAAGGTAAATGAAAAGAAGGGGCCCCAGGACAGAGCCCTGGGGCACACCAGCAGAAACAGGAAATAGATTGAATTTATATGACTTCAGTTGAATGAAATGTGTACGGCCAGAGAGGTAGGAGGTGAACCAGGCAAGGGGAATGTGAGTGATACCTATGGATGACAATCTGCTGAGGAGAGTGCTATGGGAAATGGTGTCAAATGCTGCCGTGAGATCGACAAGAATGAGAATGGACAATAAACCAGAGGCAGAAGCAGTGCGAAGGTCGTTGGTGATTTTGAGAAGAGCTGTTTCAGTGCTGTGAAGAGGACGGAAGCCAGATTGACATTGTTCATAGATGTTAATGGTGATGAGGTAGTTGTGAAGTTGAGAAGCAACAGATTTTTCAAGAATTTGAGATGAAGGATAGATTGGAAATAGGACGTAGGTTATTGAAGTTTGTGGGGTCCAGGCCAGGGTTCTTCAGAAGAGGTGTAACTATTGCAGTTTTGAAGGGACAATTCCAGAGCTTAGGGAGGGATGAATAATGCTGGTTATGAGAGGAGCGAGGGAAGAGAGGCGGGTTTTAACAAAAACTGTAGGGAGTGGATCGAACTGACAGGTGGAGGGTTTGGATTTGAGGATACGTTTTGTGATGTCATGGACTGAGGGAAGGAAGAAGGTGGAAAATGTAGTTTAGTGATGTGGGGAGGGGAGAGTGATGTCCACTTTGGAGACAGAAGCACTGTGAGAAGCTAGGTGTTGATGGAGGTCGGTGATTTTGGAAACAAAGGACATGAGGGAGTTACAAAAGTCAGTGGATTGCAGATAGAGGGGAGGGAGTCTGGGGTTTTGTTATGTTGTTCAAGAGAGAAAAAAAAAGTTTCTGAATTATCTTGATTAGAGTGAATTAAACCAGAATAATAGGCAGATTTAGCTGATGAGAGATGGTCCTTGTAGAGCATTATATGATTAGAGTACATTTCTATGTGTGTGGCAAGCCCAGTTCTATTGTAAAGTCTATCCAGTTGACGTCCTTTAGCTTTGAGCTGACGGAGAGCAGCAGTGAGCCATGGTGACAAGCGGGTGAATGAAACAGATCTGGTTTTCAGAGGGGCGTGGTTATTCAGAAGGGTGGAGAGGTTGCTGTTGTAGTGGGAGACCAGGTCATCAGCTGAACAGTTGGCTTTGGGACTGGGAAGATTGTTAATGTCAAGAGAAAAAGAGTCAGCATTTATATTTTTGATATGACGGAATGAAATAGTGTGAGGAATGATAATTTTGGACAGAGACAGGTTGATATTAAAGGAGGTGAGCAGATGATCAGAGTATGGGACAAGGTGATATTTACAGCCAGTGGGAGCGATACCAGAGCAGCAGACCAAATTCAGGATGTGACCTTTAAAGTGGGTGGGGAAGTTAATGTGTTGTTGGAGTCCGAAGCTTTCAAGGCAGGATAAAAATCTTTAGAAAGTGTGTCATTAATATTGTCCACATGAATACTGAAGTCACCCAGGATGATTATATTTTGAGACTAGGATGAAAAGTAAGAAAGTAGGTTAAAAAATCATTTAAAAAGTCCTTGTTATATTTAGGAGGGCGGTAGACGGTGGCTAAAGTTGTGGGAGAAGTTCCAGGCAGCAGGGAGGCAGAACACTCGAAGGAGGAGAAAAAAGGAGCAGCAGGTACGGGCATCAGTTTCCAAGTCTCGCAGTGAAATATCTCGAGACCTCCGCCTCAGCTGGCAGCGCGAGGCTGACGGATGTAAACAAACCCCGGTGGAGCTGACTCGTTGAGAGGGATGAAGTGATTTGGCTGCTGCCAAGTTTCAACCAAAAATAAGAATTCGAGATTATGGTCCAGGATAAGGTCTCTGACGAGATGGCCCTTGCTGCTGAGAGAACAGATGTTGAGGAGACCGTAGCGGACCACGGTAGACGTCCTCTTGGTGGAGGAGTTAGCAGATCTGGGCAGGCTGGAGAGGACATGGTGGTTGATATTCCGGGTAATCTTACGGGTGCGGCGGCAAGTGGAGAATCAGATGGGTTGTATGGAGTCAGGTTTATTGCAGTGAGTTGAGCCTTGACGTGTTCCACATGAATGTATCTCCAACGGGGCTGGAATGTGATTACAGGAGGGATGTCAGAACCAGGCGGAGGCTGCTGAATGGAGAAGTGGCGCCGGACTTTTCCAAGTTCAGCAGCTGAGTACTGCAGGAGAGCACTTGCTGGCAGGTGGACGAGAGATAGAAGCCAGCCGACAGCAAACCAACGCAGTGTTTGGAAAATCCACATGACTCCTCATGGACAGGAGAACGACGAGTGGGCCAGGTAAGAATCCGCCCAGAACCCAGCATTGGCCACAAACAATTTGAGTGACCACAGATGTTAGTGAGCATCAGTTGTCAATATAATAGTTACGCAAACTGATTAAAAGCAGCATCCAATGTTGCACAACTAGTAAAAAGATTTTAAAAGTTTAAAAAGTTAAAAAGTTTTGCTGGAGGGCAGTGGCGACCGACACGCCAGCATTCGCTCCTCCTCCAAAGTGGAGTCCTTTTTAGGACACTTTTTTATGGCCTAAAAGACTAATATGATGTAGATATCCATGGAAGCAACAGGTGATGACTCCTTTAACCCTCCCACTGTGAGGAAAGTTGAGCATTGAGCAGGGTTGATGGTTCATCCCTTGGGTCCATGTGGCAGGGGTGAGGAGTGAGCACCACCTTACCCCTGCCACGTGGACCTCAAGGTATAAACCATCAATCCTGCTCAATGGTCAACTTTCCTCGCGGGGTCACCTATAAAGACAGTGGGAGGGTTAAAAAGATGAACCACACAGTAAATATGGTATCAATTGAATTACATTAACCAAAATTTTCAACTTCACACATGCATGTTTTTGTGTTTCTACCCATTTTTTCAGTTTGATTGAAGGAATTGTTAAAAAAAGAAAAGGCAGTTTAGGTCAGAGCTCTCTGATCCGAGTGCTGAGGGGATGGGAGTGCCACTGAATCTCCTAAAGAGGTTTCCTGAAGGGTCTCTCGGGCAAACAAGCCGCACACATAGACCAGAACTCCTGACGCTGTTGCTACTGTTAACTCAGCTGAGTCCACCTGGCTTACTTCCTAGCTTTCATTTCCTGTATTTAGCCTTGAGAAAGGCTCGGGAGATCACTGCATAGCAGGCGCCTTGGTGCCAGAGATGTTATCAGCCCTCACACAAACCTCTAAATCGCTAACATGCAACAAGCAGCACATGTTCTCCTGCACACACAGGAAGCATTATACAGATTGGACATGATGCAGTGGAGCCTCCTAAATGCTTGAACATGCTTTGTGACAGACAGCTCTCTGGCAGACATGGGTGTGGTAAAATAATGTAGATTAAAAGATATTTCTACTTTTTTTTCATTCAGATTTTTTACTGATACATTGTATTTATTTTTAGGAGCATCTAGAAATAAAACAGTCATATCCAAAAACAATGGAGGCATAATATTTGTCACGTGTCGTTTGACTCCAGTGTATATTGCCTTTGTACTGCCTTTTCATACTGGCCTTCAGAATGAAGAAAATATGGAAAGTAGGACAAGAAACAAACATTACTGCAAAGTTACTTTAACAATCATTTTTGTTTATTTTTGTCAATTAAAAGGCACACTTTGCAGTTTTGCTTTCTTTTAGCTCCCCCCAGTGTCCGTTATTAATTCACTGTGGTTAAACAAAAAAATAAATGAAATAAAAAAACTCATCTTCTCGCCGAGTTCACCTTTTAACACCTTAATATACCTGCTGAAATGTCTCCTCAGCCCAAGGACGTAATTTTCACTTTAGAAGTGGGGGGACATGCTCTAATGGGAAACCGGCTTCAACACAAATGGTTGTTTTCCGCTTGGTCCTAGAGCTCAACCAGTGTCAATTTAATATAGTGTAATATTGTTTTTGGATGGTAAAAATTGCAGGGGTCAAAACTTGACTTTGGAAAAAGTGGGGGGGACATGTCCCCCCCCCCCAAATTAAGTCCATGCCTCAGCCTTCATTAGTTTCTAGAGGAGTGATTCATCTTTAAATTACACAGATCAGGTGTTTTCCAGATCTAAAGCATGCAGGAAACGTACTGGAAGTAGACTCCACAGCAACACTTAAGTTGCAAATGTGATTCTGGCCACAGAGGGCAGTCGGAGTCTCAGTGACATTTCATTAACCCTTTAAAGGGTCGTGTTATCACACACGGGATGTAATGATTCACTCAGGCCACGATTCGATCAATTCCCGATTTTAAGTTCACGATCCCGATTTTTTTTTTCACGATGTTTGTCCTGTCGGTATTTTGTTCACCCTTTTCATTTGTAAACACAGAGAAGCCAAAATGCTGCCACTGTTGACTTCAAACTGATTGGAGCATCCACTACCTCGAAGGTGCTTGCTGTAGCCATGCTTGCCTCTAGTGGTGCGACTGATGAAAAATCTCACGTTTGGATCGCATCACGGTTTTCAGTCACGGATCGGGTCATTTTTCAGAGCAGCAGAAAGAAACAGAACAGAAAAAACAAAAAGCTTTCCTCTCTCTTTATGTTGTAGAGCACTTAATGCAAAATGTTCTGCTCAATGTGCCACTTGCTACAAAAGCAGGAGTTACAGAGGTCTGATTGTTGATTAGTTGTTAAAACGGCTTGCCCTATGTAGACATGCTCTCTCTGAGTGTCCTCCAGCTTTCACTTTCATCTCCTCACCTTTCTGATGCGCTGTTTATTTGTTTTTTCATCCTTTACAGATTTGTCCCCAACAATATTTACACATTTATGTGACAATTGTCCAAAGCATGTTTTGCGCACCACCCCGCTCTCTTTTCCAACGATTGGAGGTGTGTGTGTGTGTGTGTGTGTGTGTGCAGCGCACACGGTTGTTAACTTTTGGATCATTATTGTATTTTACAGGGGAGCCAAAATGCTTCCAAACATGCGACTCAGGTGGTTTTTTGGCTCCTCTCCTCCTCTTTATGACCACCGCTGTGTTTCTTCTTTGGATTAAACAGGTAGCACCTACACCCTCGACAGGACCGATCCGCGGACCGCGTGCATGCCGAACCGATCCGTATGGATCACAAAACATTAATTATAATAATGATGATGATTCGTTGCATCCCTACTTGCCTCTGTTCTGATTAGCAGCACTTTGGCGCAATATCTGGCACAAGCAAGCACGCCATATTACGTAATATTTGTGGCCACTGTGAATCGATTGCCCTTTTTTCTACAACGGTGGATATTTAAACTAGTTTGCACCGATTTTAAATCGATTCTTGGAATATCGCTACATCCATACATACTGGCTCAAGAAAATTATAAATAAAAAAAATATATAACCTTGCATAGTATCCCTTTAACTGCATGGTCCATGTGCTTACACATTTTGTGTGTCCATCATAATCCTTTCTGGACACGTGCATTTGCCTGAATATCTCACCTCTTAATGAGAACGCTGAACTTCAAGGCCTGTCATTTTATCAGAATAATGTTTATCACATAACCCAGTGTTATAATCAAACAACGGAAAAGAATTCCAGGGTGTAATCAAGAAATGTCATCACAGCTACTGAAAAAACAAATATCAGCCATTAAAGGCTTATCTCTAACATTTCCACACACTCAACCGGTAGGCACATTAGTGTCTACTTTCCTAAAAGGAAAAACTTGAAGAAAAACATTCCCAGTCCAGACCTCCTCCCATTCCTCTCCATAACTGCTAACATTTAAGGTGTCATCCTGAGGATTCAGCTAAGTGAGTGAGTCCAGTCAGCAGGAGAAATCTGCAAACTGCTGATGTTGGTTTTATTCTGCTGCTGTCTTTACATAACCCCCTCTTTCTGAAATTAACATCTTTCCATCTGCTGAAAGTCTTTCTTCCCTCTCCTGGGAAGTATTGGAATAACTCTGTGTGGTTGGAAAAATAAGCTAAAATTATTGTGCGACTGTTTAACGTTTTGGTCTTGAGGGGGACTTAGAGTGTTTCCTACTAAACAGTAGCTGAGTGGAAAAGACAAGGCCACCGTGCCGGACTCCTTGACGATAACTCACTCCAAGTCACATCAGCGGTCCTGAACTCACCTAGCTCACAACACAGGTGTCACTTTCTATTAAACATGTCATCAAAAGAGAAAGGACCCAAGTTCAATTAGCCAGAATCGCTCTTTTCCTCCACGCTTGCATAACAACACGTCTGGGTGGTGAAAAGAAACATAAGCATTTACATGTGAGAATCTATTTCACAGGCATGCTTTCCGTAAAGAAGGAGTTTGAGCTGCGGGAATGAATCTGAGTCATATTGTCCTTTTCCATGGAAGCAATGAAAGGAAGAGAGTGCTTTTCTGTTTCAGTCACTGACTGAGTAGAGAGGAATGATCCTAGTTTAACAAAACAACTGGTGATTGGATGTTTGGCAGATATGTGTTTCTAATCTAGAGTGATTTGCTACAAGGGAATCTACAATCTACCAAGAAGTTCGTACAAGCAGTGAAGAGAAGCAATGCTGTCATAAAACTAAAATGAAGCACGAGGCATTTGGAGGACAGCTAGTCGGAACCACCTTAGCGATTTTGTTATTTTGTCTTAACTTACCTGTTGACCATCCTGACCCACATTGGTCTGGCCCCTCACCACCGTCCTGATGTCATCATCGAGACGGCTGTCAAACAGGAAGCAGTAAAGTGACAAACAAGCTCCAAGGGAAAACCATTATGATGCATTTAACGTGAACTCACCGGATCTTCAGACGGATTTTGTTTACCACATCATCAATATTGGCCAAGGACTAAGGAGAGGAAAATGACAAGAGCTAGCAAAGCATCAAATAGTTTACAGACTAGTCCTGTGTGTTCCCCCTTTTATGCTTAAGAAAAACACACATCTTGGTGAATCTAACCCACGTGCAATTAAATACTACTTTGAATTTCAAATCTGTTATAGGATACATGGCAGGTGATGCTTCTTCAGGGGTTTTCCTGAGTTCAAATTTGCGTAGCGGCCGCCTCCAGCTATTTTTGTGCCGCCCCAGCCTGACCACTTAGCCCCCAGCTATATGGATGTTATTTTAACTGCAGTTGCAGCGTTGCGACACTACCAGGGCGCTGTATCAGCAGCGGTGCACCGAAAAGCACTAAAACCGCTGCAGAAAAAATCAGAAATTGCTTTTCTTGCTAGTTGGTACATATCTATGGTTGGTGCTTTTGTAGGCTGACCATACTCTTTCCCCCGGATATGTCCACTTTTCACTCTCTGTCCGGGGCGTCCGGGGGGGAAGGGGTTCCTACATTGATCAAAACGCCCGGTTTTTCATCCAGGAGCAGGGATCGAATAATGGGGGCTAGATATCTTTCAGGGAAAGATCCAGTTTCTGCCGGTATTACAATATTTATGGACGCTCAGCGTAGCGGGATTCTGTTGAGAGTGGCTGATGCAGAGCGCTGATCGTTGGTGCGCCCGCTGCATCTCAAGGTGGCGCAGCAAAACATTATTATTAACACGTTCATATCTGTTTATATCCTCTGGTATTCTGTCTTTTAATCGTTCCTGACGCGCTCTGCTCATCGTGTGCTGCGGTGATTTCACCTCACTGACGCAGCATCGAAACACACACTCTGCTTTGTGGTCAGGAGAACCCTTTGATCTGCTCAAAAGTAACTGATGAGGTGAAAAGGTAAGAATGTAGGCAGCAGTTTTTCTGGAGAGTTTAGAGGAGATGCAGGAAGATGAGAGAAAGACAGGACAGGCAATAGTCACATAAAAACAAGAAAACAAAGCTTGAAAGTAAAATGTAGGTAGATTTATGCCCACTACACGTTTTTACCTGTATACAACAATAAGTTATATACATGTAATATTTATACATCTGATACAATTTAGATCACCTTCAAAACTCAGTCACACTCCCAGAGCCGTTTCAAGGCATTTTGGGGGCCAAGGCAAAACAGAACACCCCCCTAACCCTAACCCGTACATAACAGACATGCAACCATTACATTGTTAACAGCAGAAATTAAATGTTATTACCATTTCCAATACAAATGCATGTTAATGAAATGCATTATATTTTACTGGATATATTTCTGTGTTATTCTGACTAAGATGAGTGTTATTAATACAAACCTAAAATGTTACTGAAATGTAGGTCAAATATTTAAAAATATTTTTAACTATAAATATCAGATGGGAAAAAGGGAATAAAACACCAATCTTATTGAGCCTTTTATAATATTTTGCCTTTAAAAAAGCACAGTTGAATGCACAGAGTGTGCATGTGCTGGCGCATGGTCAGGATGCTACCACCTCTGCCTCAATTTGAGCCAGGAAAAACCCTGGTCTTTAACAATTTTTTCTACATAAATGGACGTGTAATAATATATTAACACAAAAACTGCGCTGCAGTGCCCTCTCATGGAGATGAAATAGCATAAGCATAATTTACAATTACAATAATAAATCACACTGATTATCAGAATGCTTGAGCTACAAAATAAAATAAAATTATTAGCTACTTGTTAGAAAAATAAAATGAAATAATTGGCTCAATATTTAAAAATGATAATAGTCAAACAAGCTTGAATAAAAGTGAGTACAGTTTATACTATTATTTTATTTTATTGAGTATGGATCTATAGCTCAAATGAAAGTGGACACGGGAAAACCCAGTAATCCAGAATCTGTTTTTTTTATTCAAGTTTTTGAGTTGCAACTACTGCAGAGAAGCCATGCAAAACAAAAATACAGATAATATCAATTATTAAAATATTATATAAAGATTAAAGTAAAGTTATTGAGTACATTTTATGAAATCTTTACGACACCTTTCTGGGCAACTTCATACTCTTATTAATTTAAATTAACTTGCTTTAAAAGCCTGAAATTTCATGCCACTGGGGTTGTCTGCAAATATTGCAAATTTAGCTTTTTAAGTAAATGTTTTTGTCTTTAGTAAAACTGAAGGCAAACCGTCACAATACCTGCTCAGTGGGAAACAGTGTGTTGATGTATTCCACAGCATTGAAGTCTTCTTTGTCCAGTGGGTCCTGAATGGGAAAAACCTTGGACACAAACACAAGACTGATAGTTTCAAACTCAAGCCTGGATTATTGTTTTTTTGTTATCGTTTTAAATGAGTACAGTTTAGCTAGATGCAGACATGTGTGGGTAATACCATAATTATGACCGAGGGTGATTAAAAACGTGTCGCATCACGTCAAACTTTGAAGTTTTTCTTTTCCTACCAGACTTTAGCATGTACTGTATTCGTTTTTTTAAGTCAAAAGTGTCACTTTTACCTAGAGTCCGCAGGAAGCGTTAGCCAGCTAACAGCTGGATGCGTATTAGCAACAGCATTATCAATTAGTTTAGAACTAAAAGCAACTTGAATGAAAAGCTACCTGTTCAATAGCTAATTGCACCTGTGGGCTTAGGTGCAAAATAGCATCCAAATCTTCAGCAAATTCAAATTCCTCTTCCTCCATCATTGCCCAAACATGAAGCTATCCAGTTTAGCCACTTCCTGGAAAGGTGGCCTCTTTTGCGTCACGTCACGTCTATGGTGCTTTTAAGACCGTCGGAAATCGCAACTTTCACAAAGACGCTCCCCAGTGAAGTGCAGATTAACAACATACTACTGCTGCTAACAACAACAACAACAACAACAATAAAAAAATAAAATAAAAATAAAATAAAAAATAAAATAATAATAATAATTATGATAATAATAATAACAATAATCATAATAATAATAACAAATTAATTATTATTAATAATAATAAGCTGAAAAATCTTAATGTTTTTTGTCCTCCCGTGATTATTAATATTAAGGAAAAGGAGAAAAGGGAACTTCACTCATAAAGTTACAATATTTAGAAGAAAGCCTTCCTGTAAATTATTTTAAAATAAAATGCTATAATGTTTTGGCATTAGCAACAGGGTCTCGGTTTTCTCCTTTATTTAGCAAAAAACACAATAAAATTCATATTTATGTAACAGCGTTAAACACAATGGTTGTATGCAGTGGCAGACTGCCCATCAGGAGCACCTGGACACCTATCGGTTTATTGATCCCCTGAACAAAAAACAAACAAACAAAAAAAAAAGTAGATGGCCTGTATTTGATATAGCGCCTTCTAGAGTCCTAGAACCCCTCAAGGCACTTTACAACACAATCAGTCATTCACCCATTCACACACACATTCACACACTGGTGGGGATGAGCTACAATGTAGCCACAGCTGCCCAGGGGCGCACTGACAGAGGTGAGGCTGCCGAGCACTGGCGCCACCGGTCCCTCCGACCACCACCAGCAGGCAACGTGGGTTAAGTGCCCTGCCCAAGGACACAACGACAGCGACAGACTGAGCGGGGCTCGAACCTGCAACCTTCCAGTTACGGGGCGAGCACTTAACTCCTGTGCCACTGTCGCCCCCAGAATGCAAGGCAAGGCAGGCAACTTTATTTATATAACATATTTCATACTTAAAAGCAATCAAATGTGCTCCATTCATTCCAAGTTAAATTCTGGCCCACATTGTCTTTTGTCCTGAATCACACATATGTCATAATTGTAAATAACTGTGTTTCGACCATGTCTGCCACATAATTTGACATTTACTTGCTTGTAAAATTTATAATTAAAAAGACTACAAAGTTTGATCTTTGTGTAAATACACATTTACTTTAATTACTTGTAATCTGTCATTTGATTTGATTGATGGCCATATACTTTGTCTATAAGGGATTTTTATGTAATATTTAGGTCAACTGAATGGAAACACAAGAACTCCATCCATTCACTTGCAATTATCCAGAGTCGGGTCGTGGGGGAAGCTGCCAGAGAGGCCCAGATTTTCCTCTTGATACAATATTTAAACACTTGAAACTGGACTAGATTACTTTATTAGGCCAATTAATTTGTGACAATATATCTACACTAATTGCAGAAATAGGACTGAATTAAAGAAGTAGCCTGCGTGGGGCCAACGTTTCTCCAGTTGAAGCTCATCCACCACAGTCTTTTCTTTCAAACAAAGGAGTTCTATTTCGTCTAGTCTTAGCCCTTAAGCTAGCTGCTATTGGAAGGATGATCTCTGCATCAGCCAATCATGAAGAGCTTAAATGTACGCCCACCAATAGTGGGCCCCCTCGTGGTATATAACCGCAGTAACCCCACTGCTCACCTCCTTTTTCTCTTCATGCCAAGCTTGAGAGCTTTATTAAAGAGCAAATATTATCCCAAAAGAGCAAAATTATCCGAAGACGACTTACCAGCCATGTCCAGCGACGCGAGACCCTGCCCGACCTGCCAGACGAGCTCCATTTCCAGCGGCGACCTGCACGCTAAGTGTGAGGTCTGTCTCGGGGCTCACCACGCTGGCCTGGCCTTGACCCCGCAGGCCTCGTGCCCATTCTGTGCCGCTCTGCCCGTGGCGGAGAAGATTCGCCGGGTCGAGTACTTCACTCCCGCCGCCGACGAAGAATGTCCGGTGGCTGACTCCTACCCGCTGGACAAGGCTTTGGTTTTCTTCGACGCCGGTCAGGAGCCGGCTGGCTTCAACCGGCTGGATGACGTCACCGACAGCGAAAACTACGATGAGGCGGCATCCCTCCTAGACATAACGGAGGTCGACGAGCTTCGCTCAGCGGGTCCTTCTGCCCCAGTGGTTTCTCGCTCCTCCCTGCCAGCAGTAAGAGCACTGCTCCAGGAGCTGCCCGCCATCATTTCTGCGGCAGCAGCCCGCAAGGGGCTAGCTGTGCCAGAACCGGCCCTGCCTGAAGCGGATGATTTGGCGGGAATTTTCGGGGCAACTCAGACACGCTGTGCAGACCCTGTCTGGCCGCGCTTCCCCGCTGCTATGAGCTGCTGGTCTGCCGCCTTCTCCGAGCCTGCCAAGCTCAAGGCGCCAGTCTCCACGTATGCGCCCATCACCAAGGTCGAGGGGTTTTCCGACCAAGGCTGGCCGTCCGTTCCTCCACTAGAGCCGGATTTGGCCTCACTGTTCGGCGCCAAGAACCACCTCGCTGGCCCGCGAGCTGTTCCCGCTTCAAAACATGACCAGCTGCTGACGCGGCTCACCGACCGCGCACATCAGTGTGCCTTTCAGACCGGCGCTGCAGGGAATAACATCGCCCTTCTTGCCTTCGGCATCTCCAAGATGATGGAGGAGCTGGAAGCTCCCGAGGAGTCGAAAGCCGTCATAACTAAGACTGCTGATGCTATCCTCAATCTGTGTGCTGCTGTGCTCACCGGTTCTGCTCGCATCGCTGCCTGGCAGACCCTCATCCAGCGACCGATCTGGCTGAAGGCCCTGCCCTCCATTCCGGAACATCTGCAAAGGGAGATGCTGGATGGCCCCATCACCACCGATGTTCTGTTTGGTCCCCATCTTAGGGGGTTCATTGAGAGGGCTGAGAAGACGGCCGAACTATCGGCTACGGTGTGAGACCTGGTCCACCCTCGGTCAGCCTCGCACTCCAGCCGTTCAGCCAGAGGATGGGACGAATGGCGCGGAAGCTTCAGACGTCCAGCTGCACCGCCCGCTCCACGGAGCCGGCCTCCCGCTTCGGCTCCACATCAGCGGGACCAGCGAGATGGCGGACAACGGTTCCGGTGGGGCCAGCAGACGCCGTCTTGGCAGTCCCAGGTGCAGGAGCCTCGCAGAAAGCAGCCACGGAAGTGACTCTTTGGGGGGAATGTGTGTGTTACTGATTGTTCTGATGTTGTTGGTTTTGAAATAAAACCCAAAAAACGTCACTCAAAGAGCACAATCCTACAGTCCTCCGCAGAATCCTCTGCCGAGTTTTCACACATGTTCCCCACACCAAGCACTGCTGCACGCACACATGTTCCTGCAGGTAGTCATAATACACGGCCAGCCGTAAGGGTGCGCTCCATTTGCGCTCTGGCCCCAGCATCCGGCCAGGCCCAACTCTTCCCGCTCTCCCCACGCCTTTGGGTGGGGCGGGATGTCATGTCGCTGTCTCGACCACGCGCGGCGGCACAGTGCGCGGCTCCATCCGCTAGCACTCTGTCGCCCCCGTGCACAGGCCCGGCTCCCACTCGTCCTTCACTCTCGGACTCCACGCTCCGCGGTGTGGACCAGCCTGTTCCAGCTGTTTCGCACTCGCCCTTTCGAGCGCAGCCCTCCATGGGTCGCCCCCAGTTCTCTGGTACGGGCGACGGCGGTAAGGGCGCATGCACAACCCTCAGACGTTGTTCACGTGACCGCGCACATGCGTCCACTGTCGGAACGCGCGCACGAGTGGCGAGGCCTTTGCATCATGAGCAAATGGATTTCGGACACCATTCACTGCGGTCACACACTTCATTTTCAGGCCACTCCACCTCCCTTCAACGGGATCGTGGAGACGACGTTCACATCGCAAGTACAGTCTCAGGCGCTAGAGCTGGAGCTGCGGGAACTTCTGTCCAAAGACGCTATTTCCCGAGTCCCTCGCGGACAAGAACTCTCGGGTTTCTACTCCCGCTACTTCGTAGTACCGAAGAAGTCGGGGGGAATGAGGCCGATTCTCAACCTGTCCCTGTTCAACTGCTCCATAGCAGTAATGCATTTCCGCATGTTAACGATGAGACAAGTCCTGGGATATGTGCGCCCTGGGGATTGGTTCACGTCAATCGACCTGAAAGACGCATACTTCCACATACCAGTAGTTCCAAACCACCGGAAGTTTCTGCGTTTTTCGTTCAAGGGAGTTCAATATCAGTTCAATCGCCTCCCTTTCGGCTACTCGCTAGCCCCGCGCACTTTCTCCAAATGTCTGGAGACCGCGCTGCAGCCACTGCGCACGAAGGGAATGAGGGTCTTATTTTACCTGGACGATCTTCTCCTGTGCGCTCGGTCCAAGGACGAGGCGTCACAGCAAACCAGGAGGTTGACAGGGCATCTGTCAACCCTAGGGTTTTCTATAAACTGGGAAAAGAGCTCCATCCTTCCATCCCAGTCGATTGTGTATCTCGGGGTGGAGTTGGACGCCTCCCTAATGAGAGCACGTTTGTCGCCTGCAAGAGCGGCAGATCTCTCCATGGTGATCTCCCGTGTTCAACCCCGCAAGATCGTGAGAGCCCGGTTAGTCATGAAACTCCTGGGCATGATGTCCGCAGCCCATTCAGTGGTGCCGCTAGGTTTGCTGCGCACGAGGCGCTTGCAACGCTGGTTCGTCCGCCTCCGGGTACACCCGATACGTCAGAAGAGACGTATGTTGAGGATTCCCCCTTCAGTGAGCGGGGACCTCGCTCACTGGGGGAACCCCTGCATCCTCTCACGCGGGGTTCCCATAGGACGTCCTGCATCACACGTATCTGTGTTTACGGATGCGTCACTGTCGGGGTGGGGGGGGGGCACGTGCTTGTCCCATACGGTGGCAGATCGTTGGCCCTCCCACACGCACGAGCACATAAATGTGTTGGAGCTTATGACAGTGAGGAATGTGATCAGACACTTCGCTGCCCTTCTAGAGGGCCGTCATGTCGAAATTCACACAGACAACCGGGTAGCGGCAGCCTACATAAATCACCAAGGGGGAGTTCGATCCCTCCCAC